CCCAGCCCTACTTGAATGTTGTTTAGGCCATTTCTGCCCCTGGTGAACTCTGCTCCCCACTTCCAATACAGACCCTCTGTCACACAGGCTTCTATCCTGGGAGAACAGGAGATGCCACTGGGGGCCCAGGCTTCACCTGTGTACTCCCTTTCCTCACCTGTCACATTTGTCCTTGGGTACCATGACAGGACACCAGGCTCAAAATCTCCCACCACCTATTCCTGCCTCATGTTGCCCTCACTCAAAAGGAAAGGTGTTGGGCTACTCAGGGGGCTTTACTGTGTGGACTGGCCTGGATGGACCTGCCCTTGGCTGATTGGTATCACCCATTGGTTCCTCCTCATAGATACCCTGATGTCTAGAGCAGAGTCAGAACCAGCATAGGACCCTTTGTAGGAATCTGTCTTTGTGATCATCCTGAGTCTGGTCCTTGAGAGGTGGGATACAGCCCCCAATGCAGCTCTCATTCTGGGGCCTCCTAAAGCCACCCATGACCATGGGAAGTCAATATACAACAGAGCATGTCACTCCCTTAACTATATGTTGGTTTCTTTCTATGAAAACCCTGATGTTTCCTGGGTAGCTGCTGAACCAGGGTAGCACTTTGTGCCTTAGGTTGTGGCTTTGAGATGTCCTGAGTCTGGGTCCTGGGATAGGGGAATGTAGCACCAGAGACTTCTTGGCTGTGGGGTATCCTGAGGCTTTGGCCTTAGATATTGAGAGGTAACTAACATCTTTCTGCATCCCCGATGTCTGGCTGAGTGAGCTAGGGAGAAGACTGTTGCTGTAATGTATGTGCCTGAGTACTGGGGTTTCTTGTACTGCTTGGATCTGTCACCATTGAAGTGAAGTCATGTCTTTGGGACCCTAACCTGACTCCCCCTTCTGATGAGACCACATATGTCCCTCTGGGCCACTGTCTGCTCTTCTCAGCCCCTGTATATTTTTGTATGCACACACAGTATCTCCACCCCTGGCCCTTGAATTTCTGTGATAGTCCTGGGTACCTGCAGTGTCCCAGCTCCAAGGAACAGACCTGGATTAGCTCCAGTTTCTCTTCCTGACCTCTCCTGTGACCCTGGACAAGGCATCATATCTTTAGGGCTTCCCTAGTCTCCCCTGCACACTGGTGGTCATCCTAACATCTGTTTTCTAGTGACATTATCAGGCATGTATGAGAAACACTGTGGGCTGCTGTCACATGTAGGTAATGCACAAAGTTGGAGATGAAATAGTGGAAGGTTTTGGATGTGGCATAGAATATAGCTAAAAATAAGTCTGGGTTCCTACGTTGTGACCTTGGAAGTGTTGCTTCCCCTGTTGGCATCATGAGAGGGTTGAAATTCAGTTAATTCGGATATTTTCAAGGTCCATAAGCCTTCTGAATGCTTCCCATTATAGTTAGATTCAGATCTAAGGGCCTCAACTTGGCCTTTGAGGCTGGACCTTGTGCTTAACAGCTCCCAGTTACCCTCACTCCTGGTGTGCACATCCTAAGCAATCCCCTCCCTTTGAGTGCTTGAGTGTGGACTGGATTTAGTTGTTCACTCCTTATCTATGGAACATGACCAATGGCATATGGTGTCACTTCACCATGATTTACTTAACATTTTTGCTCTATCTCTATTATTTTCTTCTCTGTTTCCCTTGGAACTCTGGCTCTGGGGAAGCTGTTGTTCTCTCATGGTGCCCAAAGAGAGGCTTATGAGTCTTAGGACAGAAAGAACAACACATGAGAAGATATTAGGTCTCTGTCCTCAGTCCTTCCAGTAACCATGGGACTCAGTGTGGAAGCAGATCTTGCAATAACTGAACCTCAGGTGAGTCCATAGACCAGGCCTCCTGAGAGACATCATCAGTGTGGAAGCAGATCTTGCAATAACTGAACCTCAGGTGAGTCCATAGACCAGGCCTCCTGAGAGACATCAGGAGCCTCCATCTGAGTCCTAAATTTCTGTTTCATAGAACTGTGAGACCATAAATGTTTGTTGTTGAATCCTTTAAGTTTGGGGTAGCATTTTCCCAGAGTAGTGGGTAAGTGGTATAGTCTAGAAGGCCCTAGAATCTGTCCCTCCGTCCCTGGACAATGCTCCTGGGCTTTGTCCAACCCCATTGGTTGCCCTTTTAACTTCCTCTCTGTCTGAACTCACTTTTGTCTTTGACTTCCTGAACAGTTGATCCTTCCCTCTGGCACACTGTGCCCAGGGTTGTGCAGGGCTGCATCCCTCTCAAGTCTATGCTTGAGTGATTTCAAGCCCTCAGTTTTATGAAGGAGCCAAGGGCACAAAGGAGCAGGACATCAGTGTCCAGGGGCATTAGGAGGGACTGCAGGAGCTCCCCTTTCCCCTGCTTACAAGTCTTTTTCACTATGGCCACTTCCAGGGTCTTACCCCACTTCCACAACAGACTCCGAGGCTCCAACAAGGTGGTCCTTGATCTGTCCAAAGATGAGTGGGTCAGTGCTCTGCTACCTTGTGTCCTTGCCAAGTTTTTGGCTGGCTCTGAAGGACTTCCAGGAGGCTGACAGCATATTTCAAGGAGCTGTGTGCACTAGGGGCTAGAGGTTGGTGAGCCTTGTGATCCTTGGAGTGAACAACGGCAAACTCCATGTTATGTCAGGAAGGAAACTGTGGCTTCTCATGAATCCCCTCCACAATAGGCAGGTGTTCCTAGAGAAACATTCCCATGTTGGTGGGTAGAGGAGCCAGGAACAGGCATACCCCTTGTTTTCTTTAGGGATTTCCCAGCCCTAAAATCCTGCCATCTCTCCTCCTTCCACACTGTGGATCCTGGATATGCTACCTGGATATGGCTAGTCATGTCCCCTGGAGGAACTGCCTCTAGCATCTTTCTCCTTTTCCTTTGTTACTTCCCAGTGTCCATCCCCACTGTTGAATACCACTTTGACCTCCACTTGTGGTGTTATTGTGTGTGTGTGCATGCATGTGCGTGCGTGTATGTATGTGTGCGAGTGTGCACACACATTTGTTCACACATCCTTGGAATGTTAGCGGTTCTCTTGATAAAGCGAATCCTGTAGAAGATGGAAGAGCCCTGGTCTAGAGGTCAGAACCCTCCTTTCTGTCATTTGGGGTTTTAAATTTTGCTCTTTGGTTTGTTTTTTAAAGTTTGGTCTTCATTTATTTGAGACTACTCATTGAGTTTATCAATATTACACTTTAATATGCAAAAATGTCCATGCGTGGTTAGAGCTGTGGATTCTGGGTGGGAAGGGGTTACATGAGGTGATTTCTTTTTGGTCAGAGGAGGCATGATTGATATATAATGCACTACACATATTTAAAGTATAAAAACGTACAAATATATAAAGAGCCTGGAAACCATCACCTGAGTGATGGTAATGAACTCATACATGCATAATAATGAACTCATGTTTATATCCCCTTAAATTTCCTTGTGGCCACTTGTCATCGCTTTCTGTCCTCCCATCCCTTGCAACCATTCATCTCTTTCATGTTCTGGCCCTGTAGTCGTTCAGTATGTGCTTTCTTGTAGGGCTTATTCATTCAGTGTAATGAATTTCAGTTTCATGTGTGTTGTCCTTTGTATGTACCACAGATTGATTCTCCATTCATCTGCTGGTGGACATTTGTGTTGTCTGCAGTTTTTGACCTTTACAAATAAAGCTGTTGTGATCATTTTTGTACAAGTCTTTGTGGGCATATATGCTTTCATTTTCCTGGGGAAAACTTAAGTATGAATTGCTGGATCATACAGTTGATGTGTTCAAAATAAAGTTTTAGGTTTGTTGAGTGAATTCTTAATCCCTATTCTTGTATATTCACCTTTTTCTCATTTGGTTTTGGACAGTGAGCCTGAGGCAAGGCTATTTCTCTTTCAAAAACCTCAATTTCTTTTACCTAGGAGTTAATTTAACAGAAAAAAAATCACCTCTAATCATACCACGCTAACGTTTTGCAGGTTTTTTTTTTTTTTTTTTTTTTTTGCATATAGGTTAAGTCCATGTATCATACAGAATTTTACCTTAATTCAGCCATTACTGTATTGTGAGATATTTGTGTTGTTTTTATTTTTTATGTTAGCTTACAAAATGAGATGACTTCCAATATATAGCTGAATGTATTCCTTTAGGATTTGAATATTTTAGTACTGGGTAATTGGAAAATTATTCTTTTTTTTCAATGTATTCACTTACTTTTTAATTAGCAGTGTTTTAGTAACATTTATGGGGCACAATGTGGTTTGGGACCTCTGTATACATTGTAAATGATGCAGTTCATTTACATACCCACTACTTCCATGATTTAACTTTTTGTCTGTGTGGTGAGAACATTTAAATCCCTTAGAAATTTTGAAATATACAATTTTGACATCATAGAACACAGTTGATCAATAAATTTTCTTCCTCATTCTGAGACCTTGAACTCGTTGACTGACCTTCTCTCCTTCCATGCCTCCTGGAAGTAGGTGTCTAATTTGTTTGTTTCTTTCACTCTCTCTCTTTTTTTTATATATATCTAGGGTTTTGAACATGCTCAGCAAACATCCACCACCATGCTCAGCAAACATCCACCACTACACACCCAGATTTTATGTTTTGAGGCATGTTTGCACTAAGTTGCCCGTGCTCACCTCGATCTTGCCATCCTCCTCCCTTAGTCACCCAGGTAGCTGGGATTACTGGTATATGTTCCAGTGACTGCCTAGAAGCAGATATTGTTGAATTTGCCCATGAAGGGTTCAAGTCCCTTGGACCACAGTGCCAAATTGTTTTCCTGAAAACCAGGGCCACCTGTTCACCCACTAGTAAAACATGCTGTTTATATATATATGTAGTAGACAAAAATGGGCCCTGGACCCAAGGGTGAGGAGCTGTTCCCTGCCTGCAGCCCCTGCTGATCTCTGTGCTTAGTGACAGCTCAGCTAGCCCTGCTGCCCAGCTCCACTCTGCTTTTGCTCTCGGCTTGGGTTGCTTTGTGTCTGCTGCTGATGTCCAGGAAGACTTCATTTTTGAGGACATGGAGACACTCTGTGGTACCCTGTGCACATTGGCCACTGACAGCAACAAGTACCATGCTAAGACTGACTGTGGGCGCCAACGCTCTACTTTCTGTGCTGTGCTGAACTTTGTTGAGGGCAGTGAATGCGAGGAAGACACAATCCGCTTTGGACTTGAAGTGCTCTATGTGGACAGCTGGACTCGGCACTGGATCTATGCTGCCTTCGAGGATGTGCTGGGTTTCTGCATGCACCACCACCTTCAGAACAATGAGCTTCTTTGTGACATCTTTGGCCTGGGCCCGGTGCTGGTGCTGGTGCTGGATGCCACTGCCTTGAAGACCTGCAAAATTTCACACTTTGAGAAGCACCTGTACAATGCTGCCACCTTCAAAGGCCGGACCAAGGCTCCCAGCCGTGTATAGGACAAGTGGGCAGACATCTGTGAGGCAGATCAGCTGAAGAAAAGACTATCCACATTGTTGCCCATATTTTTAACAGAAGAGAGTGCAAGAACTGGTCTCTGCCAATGATTGTCACTTTATTTTTTTAATGGCAAAATCAAAAACAGATATAAGGTAGATGAGTGAAGGGTCAGGACATTTGGGACCCTGGCCTTTGTCCCTGCACTCAACCCTATGGCCTCTTCCTGCCCTTTCTCAGGTGAGGCCAAATGTGTGCCTCTCCCAGGGTAGTCAGTAGGGAAGCTATCCCTTTCTTTCCTTTTTTTAGGCCTTGTTCCCCTAGGGTGACCCACTTTCTTTGGGGGATTGGCATCTGGACAAATGCCATCATAGTATGTATAGAAGCAAAGCAACCTGGAATGGATTTACATATATTTAAAGATTATTAAACAGAATGCTCAGCTTAAAAAAATGTTGATGTTTAATGCACATTTTCTTGATTAATAATAAGTTGGGTGCCTTTATCTGTGAAGTATAAATTCAGGTATTATGTTTCTTTTTGATATTAACTAGTTGATATTTTTGTAAAGAGTGTATTTAATAGAATTAAAAACAAATCCAAAGGAATAAGATGCCTAGGAATGATATTAACAGAAAGTGAGTGAGACATACTTAACAAATGCTGTTATACACCATTCAAGTTGTTTCATGGTTCATATGTTAGTATTTAATTTTGTTTAAAACCTTTTTTAGTTTGAGATAATTATAGATTCACAGGAAGTTGCCAGACAGTACAGAAAGGACCTTGTGTATTTCATTCCATCTTCTTTCAAGGTTTTATCTTACATATTCATGGAAGAATATTCCAACCATAGACCCCAAATAGAAACAATGTATCACAACTTTTATTGCATTTTCTCAGATGTGTAGGTTCATGTAATCACCATGTGTCAGACATGAGTGTTTGGCCCCTCTGTGATTATGTAATGACATAATGTGAGAGTGTATTGGCACCAATTTGTGTACTGCACTGTGACTCTGGTAGTAACTATCACAGTGAGCTCAGGCTCCACAAGTCCAAGGGCAGAGTCCCCAGCAAGGCTGCCTTTAATTCAGATGCTGGCTGTATTATAGGGATACCCAGGAGCCCCACATTTCCAACCAACTGATACTAATTTGGGGATTCATGTGACCCCCGCATAGAACTCATGGAATACTGGTGATTAAAGTGCTGCTATAAAGGGTGTAAACAAGGACATACCAAATGATGAGATATACAAAGTGAAGTCTAGGAGGGTCTGAGCAAGGACCTTCTCCCTGTGGAATCCAGCACACCTTTCTCTTGGCCCATCATTGTATTCACCAAGCAGAAATGTCCACTGGAATGAAATACACAAGGTCCTTTCTGTACTGTAGATGTGATTGATTAAATCAATAGATGTGGGGTTGAAATCAGTCTCCATCTCCCTTCACTGCCCTGAGGTTGGGCTGGCTCAAAGCCCTAACCCTCTACTCATAGGAGTGGTGTTTATGGTGAACATCCTTCCCTCTCTTGCATCAGATCCAACCTTTTAGCAGAAACACAATTATGATACAAATAATGATAGTTGTATTATTTAGGAAATTCTAAGGCTTTAGACTTCCTCCCAGAATCCAGGAGCAAACGCCAATCAATTCTGCTTATATAACTTTCTTTTTTTGAATTTCAGTTATTTTGAATAACAGTTGTCATTTGAGATTGATTCATCTTTTCACTCAGGTGCTTGTGATCATTCCATGGACGCATGTGTCAACAGTGCATTCCTTTTTATTGCTGTTTGGTATTCCATGGTATAGAGATACCAGTTTGTTCCACCGCTCAACATTCCTTCAGGAACATAAGGATTTCATAAAAATCCCTTCTGGACCTTAGATAGGGTGCATGTCAGTGTTGAAGTAGTAGTTGAAATATAAGCTTACCTGCATTCTTCATGTTCTTTGGGGAAAGTCTGTCCCCTGCCTTAGCCTGAGAAAATTACTATACATGGTCATAATCATAGGGGGAAAGCAACACAATAAACTGGTCATGACCAAAAAGAAAGCCTTTTTTTGCATTAAATTTACTAAATTGTTCTAGTATGTAAAAACGTACTCGTGCACAATCTGGTTTAAAGGGAACTGACAGAACATTCTGTTCTGCATGGGAATGTGGCTACTGACCTAAAGTTCTAACTTATGGATAGGAAGACGATGAAGGCAGTAAATGAGGGAGTAAATTTAATAAGGTGTGTCAGGGTATGAATAAATCACTCCCTGTGATTTCATGAGAAGCTTGTGATGGATAAATTGTGCTCCACGATTCCTATTCCCCTATCCTGAGTTCTGGCCTTTCTTTGTGAACACATGCTAATGTCCTGTGAGTTTCTCAGGAGAAAAATTTTTAAGTTATGTTTCGTAGAGAACTGTAAGAAGCCATGGAAATGTTGGGAGGTAGAGGTGGGAAGTGCTAGCTTACACACCTTCATTTGTGTGTGGTCTCATTCAACATGAGGGGGCCAAGCAGGGGTTCCACTGAGGGGGTCTTATATGGGAGATTAGTGAGTAGGGTTTGAGGAATAATTTCATAAGCATTTGGGATTTTTTGCATGAGAGGATTCTGGTAAAATGAGTCATTCTTTCCATGTGGAGACCAAGGTGGTCTCATGGTACTTTATTCTATTGATTTTTAAACCTTGATGTTACAATTTCATAGGGTCTGATCCAGTGGGTTTTGCTTTCACCCCATCTGGAAAAATTGGGGTTTGTAGTCAATATGGTGGTTACATAGTGGCTGAGCTAGCCCACTTGCTTTGTATCCACATATTCCCACACTGAATGAACGGGAAGGGACTCATGGGGAGCCGCTGGCTGAACTAGAATTCTGATGCTAGGAATAGAGTCCAGCAAAGTGTTTTCCCTTTATATCTCTCACAAGGATAGAAAATATCTAAGAGCTGCGAGTAAAGGGATGAATGTATGGGTTATACCATCTGAGAGATCCAATATTATGTTAACATTTTGAATAAATCTCAATCAAGATATGTTGTTGTCTCTTAGTTGAGTCATATCAGTTACCCAAAATGGTGAGGCCACATATGGCTGGACAACTTCTATTTTAAAACCCAAATCCAGTGGAAACCAGAAAATCTGGTGGTCTTGCCCTGGGAGACATTTTGTACATTTGATATGCTAATGAACTGGACTGATCAGTAATGACCAAGTGGGAGCCTATAATGTGCCCATGTCTTCTGACTCTTATTATCAGACCACCCATGCCATACTGAGAGGTACCATAGCCCTGGCCATGTTTGTGACATCTTAATATACTGATAATGCAATCATGTTTACAGGGTGGTAGAGTAGAAAGCCTCTTGGCACAGTTCCCAACCTCTTCCCTGCAGTGTTTTACCAGAGAAAGAAATATAGCCAAAGGCCTGTTGTATTCAAAAGAATTAAGTGGACTTTTCCCAACTGCTAGGGGATGTTCTCTACATACTTGAACTTTCCCTAATGATGGGGGTGTCGCTGTTGTTCAGCATGGTTACTCTGAGCACTCTTGACTCTATGCTGGTGGAATGACTCAGGATGGTGTCGTGGGAGAATGACCAACTTATTTTAAAATTAATTGTAAAAGCCAGGTATACTGGGTCACCCCTGTAACCCCAGTAGTTTGGAAGACTGAGACAGGATCATGAGCTTGAGGCCAGCCTGAGCAACACAGAGAAACCCATCTCAAAAATAAATGAATAAATAAATATATAAAAAATTTCCAGTGTAAAGAAAATCATTAAATAACCATCATTTGTACCACTGTTAGAGGTGTATACTGTGTGTGTGTGTGTGTGTGTGTGTGTGTGTGTGTGTGTGTGTTGAGATGGGGTCTTGCTATGTTTCCTAGTCTCTTCTCTTACTCTTAGGTCTTAATGATCCTCAAACCTCAGCATTCTGAGTATCTGGGATTACAGACATCCCCTATCTCATTTGACTCTCATTGTGATTTTTAAAATTTTTTTTAATTTTTAAAAATTGTAAATGGATGCAATACTTTTATTTTGTTTATTTATTTTTATGTGGTGCTGAGGATCAAACCCAGGGCCTCACAGGTACAAGGCAGTTGCTCTACCACTGAGGCCCAGCCCCAGCCCCTCTCATTGGGATTTTAAGTTGCATTGTTATAATGACTAAAGATGTTGTGCATCTTTACCTTTGCATGTTGGACTCTGCATTTTCTTCATGACAGTAGTCCAATTAAAGATTAGGACCTAGAAAAATTACAAACTAAGCCCTATCTTAGAAGAAGGAAGAAAACAATAAAGATTATAACTGGAAATAATGTCCAGGTGCAGTGGCATATACTTAAAATCCCAGCAGATTGGAGGACTGTGGCAGAAGGATTGTGGGTTCAAAGCCATCCTCAGCAATTTAGTGAGCTCCTACGAAATTTAGCAAAACCCTGTCTCTAAATAAAATTATTAAAAAAGGGATGGGGATGTGTCTAGGTTTAATGTTTGGTACCAAAAAAGAGTAAAGAATAATGAAATAGAGGACGTGAAATCATTGATATAATCCATAAAATCCTAATTTGATTTTTTGAAAAGATCAGCAAAATTAACCAACCTTCACCTTAGAAGCAACAAGAACAAAAGGTATGACCCAACATATAAGATTTGAACATGGGATCATTCTGCCTAACAGAAAGAAAAGGCATCCCAATAGAGGACAGTGAATAATTTAGATGAAATTATTTTCTGCCAGTTAATCAGCATGAGGCCACAGGGAAGCACAAGGTCACCTTGCACAATGAAGGCAAGGATCCTGCCCTGAGCTCCTTTGGAAGCCTGGGGGCGGTAAGGGCAATGGGAATGCCAAGGGAGTGATAGCGTATGAGCCAGTCCCTGAGTTATCTTCGAGGTGAATTCTGGGCCATTATCTGATTGAATAGAAGTGGGCATCCCAAAACGGGGGATTATGTGAGTGAGCAATAGATCAACTACCATAGAGGC